TATTGCTACACTAAGATATTTTTAACTTGGATCAGACAAGACTGATATGAGTATTCCTGCTAATATATATGCACCGTACCACATATACCCTAAATCTTCTCGATTGGGTCAATACTAAGACGTCCCCTCCCGGGTCATAGTACAAGAGGCATATATATAGGTGCAGAAATTGCCTCTACTGTGCACAGTAAAATAGATATCCAATCCTTCCCGATTATATCAGCATATCATGGCGAGAGGGGTACCCAGTACTTCACATAACCCAACTCACCTATTCAACCATCCGGCCAAACTAAGATATTTTCCACCAGGGCCATAGTTTCAGAGGAGAGGTGGCCATTGTCTCTACTATGCACCGTGCCACTGATACCCAACATTCAGGTATCTGGCTGCATATAGTAAGAAGAAATGTACCAAGTATGTCACATATGTTATTCCAAGTTGACTATTGCCAGCTGTTCATTTTAGGAGATCTACCGTTTAAGCGGGTCAGTGTATCACAAAACTCAAAGATTTAATGTTCTGAATATGCTTGTCATATGTGACTAGATGTTTAACATTCGTCAATCAACCATTTATCTATCGGATACTGTTGACTGTTGAAGAATGTAGTTTAATTGTTTTGACAACCGTGGAACATCTGGTTCATAAAACTGAGAATGGAAATGGTGAATGTGTCAAAGAGACAACAACCCGACCAAAGAGCAGAAAACAGCCGAAGGCCACCAATGGGTCTTCAACACAGCGAGAAAATCCCGCACCCGGAGGCGGGCTTCAGCTGACCCCTAAACAAAATGTGTACTAGTTCAATGAAAATGGACGTCACACTTAACTCTGAAACATATAAATGAACTAAAGTTAAAAAAAAACATACATGACTAACAAAGGCCAGAGGCTCCTGACTTGGGACAGGCGCAAACATGCGGCGGGGTTAAACTTGTTTTGTGAGATCTCAACCCTCCCCCTTTACCTCTAGTCAATGTAGAATAAACAAACACACAGCAATACATGTACGTACAGTAAAACTCAGTTTAAAAGAAGTCCGAGTCCGATGTCAGAATAGGTAACTAAAGAAACTAAGCAAAATGACAATGATACATAAATTAACAAGGGACTACTAGCAGTTACTGACATGCCAGCTCCAGACCTCAATTAAACTGATTGAAAGATTATGTCTTCATCATATGAAAATCAAGCACAATCCCTCCCGTTAGGGGTTTAGTATCATACCATCATAAAATATATGAGAAGAACATAACCCGTATCATGCCAACAACTGGTTTTACAATAAATGTGTTCATTTCCGATGCAAAGACCCTATGGGTGAATCAATATTAATACCAAAATATGCCATCTTTAATGATCTGACAACAGTATCATAACTATATCCCTTCTGAATAAGTCTGTTTAAAGGTTTGGTTAGCTTTTGAGGTGAATGTCGACATTTTTGTGCTTTGTATAGAATATTTCCATCATATAAGTTTCTGAGATAAGCGAACCGTTTAACATTTTGACAGGAAATCATGAGTTTATAAGATACATGAAATTTTATTTATTTTATTTAATTTTGTTCGGGGACTATATTTCCTATCTATTAGGTAAATGATCACCTTTAGTTAGTTTAACAAGACGAGCAATTAGCACTGAAATGCGAATTGAATTGAGTCATCGTTCATTCAAAATCATTCATATGAAACGACAGCCAGGTATTCCTTATAAAATGTCTACTATTATTATCTGTCTTTTAGCACATACTTACAACTTCTCGTCCAATCAAATTGCTTATATTTGCCTTCTAATTTTCATAGTACATACTTTTCCTGTGTACTAAGTAACTACGCATGAATGACCACAAGGGTAAGATTTCATTGTATCGTAATCAAGATATTTAAAACAAAAATTGCCACTGGCTATTTTGAAATAAAATGCTGTGTTCCAAATTAGATTAAATAGTTTGTAATTAGTTTTCACGTTGATTTTTAAATATCCTGCTATCAAAATCTTTGGATCTAAAAATTGCTTTTGACAATTGCAAATTTCATCATTTAAATAAAGGGTAATACATATGGTTCTTTATACCTTGATTAGAGTACAACGATATCTTAAAATTATGATAATGTATCATCCATGCAATTACTTTGTACAGAAAAGTGTGTACTATGAAACCTTGTGCAGGAAAATTAAAGCAACTTGGTGATAAACTTTCTTAAGGAAGGTGATCTATTTCGTCATAAATTGATTGATTTATTGATTATTGGTTGCTTAATGTCCAGTGGCAAATATTTCATTCATGTTCAGGACGATGTCATGAATTGAAAAACTGTGATTATGTCTGAAGATAATGTGCCACCTATATATATATATATATATATATATATATATAAACATATTCTGATAAATCTTTTAGTTTTTACTTTAAAATAATAGAAAAAAACAACACAAAACACAAAACCTATAATCTCTGATCTATTGGTAGTTGCTTTTTAATGCCTATCTGCTAGACTATATCTATGGGGACAAACTATCTCTATGTTTCAAATTTATTATAGCTTTAGTTTTACTGTGAAATTAAAAAATGTTTTCAAAACATGTAAAGCTTCCACTGCAATTTAATTATTGCCTGCTTTTGGTCAATTTATTTTGTCATCTTACCATGTAAGAAGAACATGTATAGTAAAACACCGCTTTATATCGATATACCTACTTATACCAGCAGCTACCATCTTTTCATTCTGGAGTGAAGGGCCTTTTGAAATCACATATTTTACAATAATACAAGTGAGTAGATTTACAAAACTTCGTTAATGGGCTCCTTTTTACAAACACCTGTGATACAAGTAGTCAGCCAAAATAAACTATCAATAGACCAATTAAAAGATTACTCGAGTTGTAAATATGTGCTAAATTGGATAGTCTATGAAAAGGTATATACTATGAAATTAAGAGCTCGGGGCAAGCCCTTTCCATAGACTAACCTAGACATATAATATTAATCGGATAAAAAAGCGATAATTCAATTTGCCTCTTTGATGTTGACGAGTATAAAAAGACTGTCTTTCACACCTTTAATTCCAAAATCGGATTAACTTGTTAATTGTTGAAATCGATAATCGAATTCGGCATTTAAAATATCAAAAAATATATTTAAAATAAATGAATTTACAACTTTAAACAATAGTAATGTTAATATTAAGCACTTTTCCAATTCTTGTAAAAACGTTCCTAATCGTCACTTTTTATGAGTTATATATGTGTATTTGGTCCTCATTTCAATATTCTTTACAATACTCGTTCATTTTCTGGATCAAGAGGATGCAGTTTTGATTGATTTGTATTCCAGCAGTGCATTTTTTTTTCTTACATACACATTTCACCTACTGTAACATCAGGGGCAAGAAAATGGCCTCGGGGGAAAACAAACATATCTGACCCAAAATATAGAAAATGGCGTGAGGCGAGATACATGAGAGATCTAATAACTTGTGGATGGACTGATGAATTTAAAGGCTTCATAGTGTTGCGAAATGATTCGCTAGCATTTTTTTTAGCAATCAAAACTTCCATCGCCAGAGATATCGCAAAATTGCGAAGTGATGAAATCTCTAAGTCGTATTTTATAGCCGACTATACGGTATGGGTTTTTCTCATTGTTGAAGGCCACCAAAAATTGCTAACATTTACTTCATTTGAACTCTGATGGATAGTTTTCTCATTTGCAATCATACCACATCTCCTTATTTGTTTATTGTGGCGAAACTATTAATATGGCAGGTGTAAGTAACTTCTTAACTTTCAGAACTAATTCCAAATAATTTAACAATTAATCAGATTTGTCCCGTTTTAAAGTCAACGACCTTAAACTGGGTAGAGCTCATTTTTTCTTATATTTACACCATTGAAAGGGCAGGGGTCCATGCATCATCTGCTTAAGTCTTGTTGAAATTCATCGTTGCATTTTATGTTTAGTGTATAATGAATATAACCATTTTGGGGTTCCCTAAAAAATGGCCGAAAACATTATATAGAGATTAAAAGATTGACTGGGATATAGAAATATGGTCATCCCCTGGTCTTCTTCCGACAGGCAGTAATACCCTTGCAAAAGTGGAGCGTCCGTTTCGGAATGTACAAATACGCAGCCACGACCGATACCTCGTTAAAGAGAGTGCCACGCCCCTGCACGTTAGAAAACCTTTGTAACAACCGTCTGAGGGGTCTGAAGATAGCCTGTTGCAAGGCAAAATTTCGGTTCCTATCCAACATATCCTTATTCTCAAGTAGCAGCCCAAATTGTCCACCCTTTATTCCGGTTGTATTAATTGTTCATTTGTTCTTGTTCTGAACATGCATGATACATTTGCCACTGGACGTAAATCAAACAGCTATCAATCGATCAATTTGTTCAAGGCCTTAATCAAGTTTGATTACATCTTTCAGATTTTCTCTTGCAAATGACGTGCAGTTTAATTTAACGCATAATTTTTCGTCAAGAAAAGAAATTTAATAGCGTAGATTGCATTGATATTTAAACAGTTGCTGTTATTGGCTGCTTTTTCCTGCGAATGTTTATTTTACAGACAGTGTTTCAAATTGCATGCCTTTTATTCACATTCATAACTTACTGATTATTTCCTTTTGTTCATGAGAAGGGGCTTTTTTCATACACACTCATTATTTCAATGTTGTTAGTTCATAACTTGAATAGTATGTGTGACATTTGTCAACAGTTTCTAATTTTACGCCTTCAACTGAATAGACACACTATTGAAATGATTGCTCAATAAATTTTACTGATAAATAAATATACAAAACAAATGATAAAAATATGTTTCGGTTAAGGTATCAAACAAAGTGTTTCTATCCTGTACGCTCCTTTTAAATAAACGTCACCTCTTTATAAGCCAATACATATATCTTTATTAAGTTGTCACCTTGTTTTTGGACCTGTAAAACCAGGTACAAAGATGAAAACTTTCCGTCAAATCATTGAACCTTATCCAATCACGTGACAACTCTACACATGAAAATTAAACTTTTATGATTGACAAATTTTGAGTGAAACAATAGAAAATAACGGATTTTTGGTAAAGAAAAATCATGGGGAAGGAAGCGGTAAGTTATACAAAGTTTATTGTCTAAATTTATCAGTTTAGTACTTACAGCCAACAAATATCAAATTTATGTAAAAATAATTGTAATTAATTGTAATATAATAAAAGTTAAATTGCAATAAATTTTGTATTCTGAAAAAGATAAAACAAACAAAAGTCCTACAAGATTAAAAGTTATTTTAAATATAAGGAGTTATAATTATAGAAAAAAACTATGTCCAAATACAGATCGATCAATTTTGTTCAATAGAAATAAAAACCGGTTTTAAGTTAAATTTAAAAATGTTTGGTGGTATGGAGTAATCTGAAACAATGTAATATATGGATATAAACTTATTTGGTTCGTCAACAGACATGCATTTTCTATGTTTCTAGTAAGATAAAAACAAACGTTGATTAAAACTATTTGTTTGCGACTTTTGCTGCACAATGGTTACCAAACTTTCCACTCCCCGGGCAGATTATATAGAGCAGAACAGAGTTGATTGAGTGACAAGTGATACATCGTTATTTTTTCCCTTTAACAATTAATTCATCGTCTCATTTCTGCCAAAGAAACAAAAACGAGCTTATGTATTTTGGGTATGAACTTCAACCAACTGGTTGATTATTTTAAAATGAAATGAAAAATGAATCTGTGTTTATCTAGTTTAGGTCATACAACAACAGTCGCTTAGTTTATTATTTAATGATTTTTTAATGGTAATTGACAATTTGGTAGCTACACCATATATCCTTAAGTTTCATAGTTTTACTCAGCTGTATGGAAAACTCTGTAATAAATAAAGGAAATCGTAAAAAAGACTAAATTTTTTTTTTAAGTTTGCCGTTTGTAAATTTGACCATAATTGCCATTCTAAAAAGCAGTTTTCTCTCTCCTGCATATAGTAGTTGAATCGTAGAATACTGACACCTTGTTATGGTTTAAAGAGAGCTATGCAGGTCCTTTACTTATTAACCACAAAGAACACAGTGCAGTTTATAAGGAAAACATAATTACGTAATAAAAATATGAAAACTTTCCTTGAGCTTAGTGACAGTTTGAATAAATAAAATGAACTATTCATAAAATTTGTATTCAAACACATGTTGCTTTGGAGCTCTGATCCATATTGAAATGAATAATAATGTAAAATATATTATAACAGATAAAATGAAATATCATATGAAATTGGAAAGTACCCACGCGTGTACTTAATCCTTTTCGTTATAATAGAATTTCACGACTATTTTGAATGTAAAGAATATAGAAATATTCTGTTCAGGTACATTGTGTCAAACGTATCGCAATACTAAGCAAATATGTATGTATATGTTCCTATAGGGCCGGAAAACTTATAGGCTCTGACTTATTTTGAAATTAGTCAAGTAAAACTACATAAACGAAATGATTGCTAAACAAACCATAAGTCATAAAATATGTTTGTTTTACGTCTAACACCTCAAAAACGTGTAGCAAGAATACGCCCGAGGGATACCGAAAATTCATGAACCGGAAAAGAATAAACAAGTTCAAGATTTAATCTGCATTTCTATTCATTGGTTATTTACAGAATACACAAATCTACGAACGCCTTATTAACAGCCTATAAGGTATCCATAAATATGTGTGAACAACGCCTCAAACTAATGTGACATAGTCATTAAAACCAAATTTGTACTCAAAAGTTTTAAAAGCTTAATGTGTTGTTTGTGATGGAACAGGATTCTAAGCAGTTAAACGAAATCTGCATCTTATTTAAAAAGCGAATTTCACATTTCCGATTCTATACATTGTAATACTTGCCGTTGTATCCGGATTCCAAAACATGATCCTACGTCGTAAGCGAAAAAACGATAAGAGTGAAATTTCGAAAGGTGTAATAAAAATGTGATAACAATGTTACAAATTTACAAATTTGACTGAAGATGAAAAAAAAATATAGTTACTGAACCCTTCAACACTAAAACTGTATGAAGATGTCACCAAAACGGAATGCCCTAGGATCATTAAATATTTACTTGCTTTCAATATTACACTTGTAAATGCCCCTAACAGCTGAAATCATTGACGATAAAGTATTTGAATTTAAATTTGTATTCGTTGTAAATATGTATGTATTATAATTTATTCTCATCTGTTTTCATTACAATAATATGATAATATCTATTGTAAAGACCACGCATTATAATACATAATCAATCTAACATTCTTCATGATTAGATAAGTTTGTGATAGTTTTGATACCATAAACACAGATTTATTTTAATATTTTTAAAATAGCCATAAAGATCTATAGCCAATTGAAAGCGGTCCGGATAACATATTTTTTTTTATAGTTTTCCTCAATGCAGACCACTGTCAATCGTCAAAGCCATATACTATTTTTAATTTTTCCTCAAAGTCTGCCACAAGAGCTCTGTATCTTTCGTTTTGTCATTATAATATAGATATGTTTTTTTATAAAAAAAAATAGGAAGCTGAAAAAAAGATTGATAACAACGAACAGGTGAGAATTGCACAATTAAAGCCGCCTTTTTTAAGGCTCTTTTTTTTTACATTACATCATGTTTTCTTTCACTGTTACATTTTTTGGTGTACATTGTTTACATTTCATAAATCTTATTATTTACTAGTTTCATTTTTAACCAGACAAAGTTCATGCCTCCGCCGTAGGCTTGAATATAGTATGCAGCAACATTTGATTTAGTAAACAGTTTTGTTGAATTACAACTTGAAATGGCTATGTCTGAAAGACATTTGATACTCCCGGGACAATTTGGATTTATTCCATTATGTAGAACAATGTTTTGCTGTTGTTCTATCTCGAGCTTGGCAAAATCTAACAGTAGGTGAAAAAGATGTGAATGTTAATAATACAGAAATATACATAATAAGTTTACTGTCGACATTCAGACGGTAAAAAAAACACGATAGAACGTCTCACTGATCATTTAAACGAGTTTGTAACTATATATATATGTATATGCTTTAATGTATCAATACACAAATCGTCTACATCAAGCCTTATCCAAAAACCGTAAGAATGCGTAACTTATCATAACTTGTAAGAGCTAATTTCTTATGATTTCTTACGACTTACAAAGTTTTTACCGTCACGGAAATAATCTAATCCAGATATCCTATCAAATAGAAATTAATCGTTGTTATCCTGATTAATGGAATGGGGATTTTAGATTATCCGAATCAAATCCAAATACTTATTACATCATTATTCTTCGTAATCCGCGTCTGATCGGAATGAAAACATTAATTCCAATGCCCTGTTTTAGGAAAGTGCATCCTTCTTTGTGAAAAGAATCGATTGCATTAGCTCTTTACGGAGACTGAGAGTGATACAAGACAAAATGTCTACTAAACTTTCCAATTTATTGCAGCGGCAGTCAAAATTTTCCGCCCATCTGCAGAACCTACTTTGTTGTTCTGATGTTTAATTTGGTATTATTCTGTTAAAAGAGGAATGAACTATTTGGCACTGGATGTTATACAAGAAAACCTTCAATTAATTCTTTCTTTATGTTTTCAAATATTGTACCAAGCATGACTTCATTTCCAAAGTCCTCTGGTGTTTAAAACGTCACGAAGGGGACTATCTTTTTTTTATTCTCGGATATCCTCTAAACGAAAAAGTGTTATTTCCGAAAACTATAACATGGTGTAGTCTTGAAAAATATGATGAACAAATGCATTATTTTTCGCACCAAATGTAGGTAAAATGAATCTTTACACCGGAAAATATACGCTTATATTAACACTAGAGATGCTTTATTTACTAAATTTTTCTTCTTTACTTCATAATTATTCGTTTCAATTCGGTGCATGTAAAAGAAATCTACACTTCATAAGTTTTTCTAAATGTATAAAAGTTTTTTTTCATAGGTAAGTGTTTTCTAGCCTAAGGGTATTTCAGTCTTGTATCAATTTAATGAGCAAGTTTTAAAAAGTTTTATATTGAGTAAATATTTCTTTAATGTCAGTCAAATCAAGTTCAAATTTGACTGGTGAAGTTGTAACTGGCTGGTTCGGATTAAATAAAACTCACTACAACGCATTCTTTTCAATTCTTTTGAGGTATATACGTTGTTGTATTATAAAATTTATAAAATTGAAATTTAATGACTTTGGGAATATCTTTAAACTTGTAACTAGATGACATAATGGTATATAGTGAATAGGTTTAAGTTCATGATTTATGATACGTTGACCTTGTTAATGTCTAACGGGCATCGTAAATGCCTAAGAGGTTTTGTTAATACCTGTTGTCACAATACACAATTTTCTGTTATTTTGTGTGACAGTATACTATAGAAGGTTGTGAGGCAAGGACATTTCCTTTTCGCCCAAAATATATTGATATAAAGTTGTTACGATTGCAGCGGTACCGCTCTACATTAAAACAGCATTGACATTGTAACCCTTATATAAGATTCGATTTCTAAATCGTGTGCCAATATAGCGACACAAATAATTATAGTGGTAAACCTGTCACAGATCTAAGGTCACTGTCTATGTATTTTATGTTAGAAGTGGGTCCTATTTTTTTATTTTCTACATCTTAATTAGAGATGAATGTGGTGGTCACATAATTTGTGTTGGACTATATATAGTGTTAGTTGCTTTCTATCGAAGGTCGATTCTACTCTCCTGGTACGGAGATGATATAGCCAATGTCAATTGAAATGGCATTAACACCAACAATGTGTTGCTGTCTTGTTTTTTTTCTTTTTACTTTTTTAGGCTTTGAGAAATTTAACATTCTCATTTCATGGTGGTTGGATCACTTATTATCGGCATAATTGGGATATTTAATTGTAAAGCGATACATTGTTAAATGATAATAATATTTAATAGATATATAAAGTCCAATAGAACTTCATTAAAGTTTGAACAGTTTCTTTTTAGACACAGTTATCAAGGGAACGATTTCTGATACCAATATAATTTCCGAATGTAGGACAAAAAGTCACGATCAAAAAGACACAGGACAAAATGTCACAATTCAGTTTTTAAAAAACATTTTGTATTTGTATTGAACAGTTATATATAAAGCAACTTTTTACACAAAATTTATTCTAAAAAGAATAATTATCAAATAATTGTTTAGAAAACAATTTGTCAAAGTGTCTTGGTACTTAAATGGCTCTATCATGTCTTTGGTGCCAAGAAATATATCCTTTGCATGATTAAAATTTGATAAATCTTCATTTATTAAGGCTTATGAACAATTTCCTAAACTGCAAAATGAATATATTTAATAAAGAAAAATTATTTCAATAACTTTCTGTTATATATTCAAACAATTTTTAAAACAATTGTTTGTGACTTTATTTTCTGTAACTTTTTGTCAGCTTACCATATTTGCTGATCGAATTTTATCGGTATTAACAAGTTATATAGGAATGTAAAAGAAATCTCACAGTATAAGATTCGAGTATATTGCATCATGTCTCTGATTGCACGTAATGCTTGACAGGTTCTGTTTACTTATAAAATGCTTTATTGTATAGCTTTTAATATTACTAGAACACACCCGCGGGCCCGTGACTGAATTAAAGTACCTACTGGATTTTTAGTATGCGTATTGTCATCCCACAATTCATGCTGCATGATAATAAGGTTCACAGTTTTCTCTGGTTTCAAAATCTTTCTGTTTGAACCCTTCCTAGTTTTCTTACTAAAACCGGAAACTACATGATTTTGATATATTGATTACAGTCGTATATACACTCTATTAGAGGTTGTCCTGAAGGACGCAAAAAGATTCAGCAGTAAGGTAAGGTCAACATGTGACATATACTATTGGTATCGGTAACGGATTCGACCTGGAACTTGTTAATAAGTGGTAATATTAATTATGTGGAAAAAAAGGGACTGGAATGGTGTAACTTTTAATCAACACCATTGTCCTATATTAGTTATATATAAAGTTGAATTCTTAGATTTGTCGTTTTTACGTCATGCCGGCTAACAAATTGGACCTCGTTATTTTAGTAGTGTAGATATTTTGAAATGTTGGAGGCTCACTTAATTCTTGAAATTTACCTATTGAGGAGATGTTTTCTTCCTGATTAATTGTTATCTGAAAAAATTGAATCCATAAAAATTAAAAATTAAGCAAATTTTTACCAAATCTCTTAAAAGAAAACAACAAAAAATTGAAGGTACTTTCACAGTAAACTTTTCCTGGTTCATGCAGAATTTGAAATCCTTATAAAATACCAGCCAGTTCTGATTCTGTATTGGCCTAATTTGGCCGTAGCAATACATGATATATAGAATATACAATTTATTTCAAAAAACAATAACCATTAAAATTTTAAGAAATAACATGCAAGTGTATCTGCTTTCTATAGTTCGTATGACTGTCTTATAAAAGAAGCAACATTTTATTCATTATCAATTATATTAAAAGAACGGAGTCAGACGGTAAACGTTTTGGTTATTTCTAAAAGGATTTATATGCTCTGACCAAAATATAGATATAAGTCTTTAACAGATGGGCATTAACTTAAACTCTAGCTAACGATAAAAAAATCCACTTTAACTGGAGTTCTTTTTTGTATAATTGATAATCAACTTTTGCTTGTTTCGTGATTATCATTATACTTTTCATCAAATTTTGTTATAAAACTTGCTTGGTTAATTAAAAAGAATTAAATTTTGTTCGACTTTGGGGTTTGGTCGACCGTTCAAATTTCAGAACATTATACCTAAAAAATCAATCAGACCAATCTTGTAATCATTATCATGTCAATTCTACGTGGTTTCCGCTTTTCTTCCCTCCGTTTGGCGTCATGAAAAGTTTAAATGGTGATGCATAAGTTCCGGGTAAATGAATCGTAAAATGAAAAATATACCACAAGCTTGTAGATTTTAATTAACTGATGGTATCAGCTCGTTGACATGACTGTCGTTAAAATGAATGTGTGTGTGTCAATAAACAAACAAATATACCATATACTTATGTATATAGATGAATTTAACTGAAAACTAATCTTTACTTCTAGGAGAAACTAATTTTATTCAATATGGGTCAATACCATTATGGTCGAACACTATATTCAACTTAAATCTTTAGCTTTAAATTATACATCTTAGTTATAACCAAAAGAAACCTGCTTCATTTAACTTGTTGTATAAATTTTAACAACTAACCCTTAAGGTGTACTCGAGGTCAATCCGTGTTTTAGTAAGTCTGCATCAGAATTGGGGTTCACGTGGTTCCTTCAATTTTAGTTTTTTTTTCAGCCGTCTTACAGAAGGTTTTATTAGATTTGAACATTGGTAAACTACTGTTTACTCTAATTTACTCGTACATTCTTTTGACCTTCCTACTCCCTTCCTTTATTGTGATTGCCTAGCAGTTTTCTGTTTGTTTTTTTTCGATTCAGATTTGAGTTTTGGTATCAAGACTGATTTAAGAAAGTCTTACCTATTCCAATTGTAATTGTTTATGTAATACATGATTGAAAATATGAAATATTCAGGTTCATTTTTGTTCTAAATATTATATGACATCTGTTAAAAATAATAATAATAACACACATATATATAGATCACACATTATGGTATTAATGATAATGATAATTAATGTTTTTTCTGAATAAAAATAATAAAAAAAACTCAATAAAAATTAGTTCATTGGAAATGCAAAATAAAATTGAGAATGCCTGTTTGATCATTCGGTAGAAGTTTCTTGTATGGCTTGCAACTAATGCAATTTACAACAGCATACGCTTCACATATCTAGTTTTAGCACAATAAAACTCATCGTAGTAAGTCTTACTATTTTTAAAAGTCACGGTTCATTTGAATGTGTTTGGTTTTTTTTATATTTAGATACCCTTTTGCGTGAATGTATTTCTTAATGTTCTGTAGGAGATAATTGAACGTGGTAATTGGACTGGGAGACTAGATTTTATACTATCTTGTATAGGTTATGCTGTAGGACTTGGAAATGTCTGGAGATTTCCTTATCTTTGTTTCAGAAATGGAGGCGGTGAGTACAAAATGAATAAATGGAGAAGTTAAAAGTAATATTGTTAAACATAATTTTCAAATAATTGCAGGCTGCCCAAATACTTAGCTGTAGGTAGACAAATTAAATAAGTACTAATGTTGATTTTTATAAATCATTATATTTATTATAACTTTTTTGAACTTGAAAGACAAATGTATCAGTATGGTGTATTTTTGATATGCAGTATGATTATATTTACTGTATTGCAGGTGCATTCCTTATTCCATATGCTATTATGTTGTTTATCGCTGGAATTCCTTTGTTTTTCTTTGAATTGTCATTTGGACAGTTTGCTTCTCAAGGACCAATTACAGTTTGGGCTGCAAATCCAATGTTCATGGGTAAGTTCTACGCTATTCAAATAACTACCGTTTACTGAATTGTTCTCTTGAGTAATATATATGTATATACATAACATTCAATTATTTGTAATTAACTATAAAATACGTGTATACCAACCTAACGATGAACAACTTCAAATCGACTTTAAACGCAACTTTTCGGCTATAAATGATTTGGTTCATGTAATTATTACATGTATACACGAACATGCATGCTTTGGTTTTTGTAAATATAAATGTACATTACAAAAAGATAGAGAAAACAGACCTTGTACAGGTTGTTTTTATTCGTTTGTCTCTCCTACTATTGTACTTTTCACGATACTATAGTAACTGCTATTTAAAACGCTAAATTTGTATTTATTCTTAGTATATATCTTTGTACTAATTAAGTAATCAGATACCTTTAGTTTTCTATGATTTGTTTTGTATTTGTCAGATGTTGATTTGGCTATGTTGCATCATTTTTGTTTGTGTTTTTAGGTGTTGGATGGGCTATGGTTATGATCAGTGCCATGGTTTCAGCATACTATAATGTCATTATTATGTACGCTATATACTACATGATGGTGTCTTTCGTAAACTTGGATACAAAGTTACCATGGCAAACATGCGATCCCGAATGGGCAACTCATCTTTGTCGACAAGAGGCTTATCCAAACTTTGCTTCTATGACAAATGATTCAGAAATTCAAAAAGAAGCTTTCAGTAAGTTATATAAATTACATACGGTTTGTTCATACAGTTTCTCTAAATAATTGAATCAATTCTAGATAAATCATCCAGGAACTTAATTAACACACTTACAAATGGTTGCGTCGTCAATAATTTGTTTAGTTAATCATTTTCTGTTATTTCAAATTGTATAAGATTACATTATATTTTTTATTAAAAGCTTTGACTTTTTTCTAGAAATTAAGGACACAGTGTGTTTGGAAAATCTGTTACCAAACATCTCTGCTGCAGCAGGTGTCATCCCAGCATTTGCAACAATTATGGAAATACCTAGTGATCTCCTGGTTCATAACACGTCATCATGTGATCTAGACCTCAAGGTGCCTAGTGATGAGTATTGGACGTGAGTAGGATTAATTGCAAATTCATTCAAACAGCAGTCCATAATTATACTTTTAAATTATTTCGAGTAAATCAATTGGGTACATTTTTTACTAGTCCTTTGATAACTTCATACTCAGAAACGTAAGGTTGGCAAAAGGAACAATTATAAAACATTATGAGAGTTTACTGACATTATTATTGATGATTCCAAAAGAAAAACTATGTACACGTTCGACTAGCTATTCGTGGAATAAAATTAGAAATTACAGATATCATCAATCGCCTGACACGTGTTTTCTGGAATACATTGTGACCATCATCATGTATGCCCAGCACCAAAGTTTAAGGAGACAAATACACAAAAACCTAAAAAGTGTCAAAATAAATATAGACATAAACAGCCTGAACATCAAAATACTTCTAGACTCACTTCTCATGTTTTAAAGTTAAGTAAAGTATGTTTAAATATTTACACATCACTTACAAAGAAGCTATAAATTTAACTATCAACGTCGTAACGAACAACACCCTTTTCTTGTTAATCATATCAAAGCCTAAAAAAAATACTTTATATATTTAAATCGTACGGTTGGTATACTTTTACCGATTAGAAAAAAATAATATGTCTTTCACACATGTCCCCTTCTATTTGTGTATATAAAACAGAATTCAAAGAAATCAGAAATGAATTAGATAGAGGTGTTTTATTATGAGTGTTTGAAGAGTATATATATTGCACATATAAAGGTCTTACATTGTAAAGTTAACATTTGCGGTTGTATGTTGATTAAGATTTAAAACTTTGTTCGTTCTACTTCGTTGTTTCATATTAAATTTTTTTGAATATGTATTAGATACACATTGAGAGCGTTAGCCCGAATGAGTGTATCTAATTTACACCAAGATATTATTGTCAATGCAGAATGATAGTTTTCAATAATTCAGGAGGGGGTCTTTCAGCAATTTAATCATATGTTAATGAAACGCATGATAAATGCAGGGTATCCAATTTCATTTAACGACATCTTGGTGCAAGTAAAGAAACATCAAATTAAACAAACCAGTGGATGTTTTAATCACTGCTATTTTTCTCTCCACAGGCGATATGTGTTACGTCTCCACGAATCTGATGGTTTTGATGAGATTGGTGGTCTCAGTCTTAAGCTGACTATCTGTTTATTTCTAGCATGGGTTATCATTTTCTTCTGTCTCATGAAAGGAGTTAAATCATCTGGCAAGGTAAACGCTACGATATATAGTTACTATTACTTAAATGTAAATGTGAACACGAAAAGCGACTTCACATATGTCAATTATCCATAAAACTGTGTAAATGGTTGTCCATTTAAGCTAAATAAAAATGTATTAAAACTATGATTTCATTTCAACATTTTACTTCCAATACGGTTATGATTGTCAATTGTAAGCTGCCATAAATAGACAAAAAAAATCACTATATTTTGGTAGCATTTATCTATAAATATGTATTCCTTTCTGTATATTGATACACCAACGACAATGTACATGTTATATTAACAGTATGTCACTAGGCTAAGTGCTATATAAACAGTCACTAGGGTGAGAGTTTCATCAACAATCATTTGGCTGGGTGTTTTCTCAACAGTCACTATAGACTGAGTGTCACAAATTACAATAGGAAATATTTTTACAGTTTTTTAAAGCATGAACTATTCCTAACGACTTTGATCTTCGATGTCTCATTTTTAGCTCACCGGACCCAAAGGGCCAATTAAGCTGTTCTTATCACTTGGCGGTCCGTCATCAATGGGGTATCTAGTTTAATAAATGTGTCCGATGACTCGCCTGCCAACCAAGAAGGCCGACATGGCTACAAAATAGAACATAGGGGTTTTGTCTATTATTTCGAAAACCGTTATAAATAGAGAAAATCTGACAGGTGCTCAAACGTTCAAAATGTTGAGCTCTACCAATTGTCTATATACTTTAAAACTGTCAGTCGATTTCTTATAGGAGTTATTGCCCTTAAATGACAAATTTTACCATTTTTTTTCCAGTTTTGTCTATTATCTTAAAAATTATGATAGATATGGAGAAACTTTAAATTGATTGGCAAGACAAGGTCTACAATTAAGACAAATGGAGGAATTCGTATGACGACTCCTTGTTGAAGCTATTGCCCTTTAATGACAATTTTTACATTTTTTGGCGTTTTGTCTATATGATAAAAAATATAACAGATAAATAGACACCTTAAATCACAAAAATTTCCTAATAACCAAATGTATTGGCAATATTGTTAAAATCAATGGAAAGTGATCTTTTCTACAACCAAATTGTCAGATCACTTGAAAATTGAAATTTGTTGCAATTTGTTCTACTGGTTGTTTTTTTTAATTATTATTGTAAAAACCTTATTTATTGATACATTTGACGTGTTTTAATTACCAGAAGTTCAAGCAAGTATATTAAATGGATGTCATTGAATCATTTAAAAAAAATTAAATGTGTTGGGAATTTACAATGAAACGTCACGGTATAAATACACATGTAGTAGTTGGGAATTTATAATAAGACGTCACGGTATAACTAGTAGCTGGGAATTTATAATGAATTATAGAAATGACAGCTAACAGTTACAAATGACAGATGATACAAATCAGCATGTGGTTTTAAATACTACATATGTGACAAAGGTGACATCAATGAACACTCCGAATGGTTTTCGCTTAAAACTATGGAATGAATTTAAACAAAACTACATGTGTACATCTATTTTAAAAAAAGTAATCTGTTATAAAATTAACTTTAGAATATAAATAATGTAAGAGACGAAGTTTTTTTCTTCATGAAACATACCTCTTATTATAACCCCTTCCACTTTCTCAAAGGGGTTATATATGGATTGAGAGTCTGTCCATCCGTTCTTCCCGTCGTTTGTTAGTCCTTCTGTCCCATATTTTCGCAACTTCTCCTGAACCACAGAATCTTAGTTAAATGATGTTATTTTGCATTTTCTATTTTACTTTTTTTTTTTTTTATCAGGATCAGTTTTGGTTTTTCTCTAACCAAAGCATGAACTTTGCCATTGGTTATCTGATAGGGTACCTCTTTTATTGGGGTGGGGGTACTCCTTTTGTATCCGTAACATCTCATAAACTTCCTATTTCAATTCATTGAAACTTTTTTTCTCAATCTTAAACATAAAATAAGCTACACATTATGTATCTGCAACATCTCCAAAACTTCGTATTTCAATTTATTGAAACTTTTTCACAATCTTAACTATATATTGATATTGTGCACATCCTTTTTTTCATCAGAATCATCATTGGGGTTTTCCATATCTAAGCATGGACGTTGTCATTGCTTATTTGAGTGTACCTATTTTGACTGTTATACCGAGTGTAAACTTGCATTGCTATACGACGTGTCTCGGTATTTTGTACATCCAACATTCATGTATTTATTTTTGATTTTTCTGTTATGGTTTAGGTTGGATAATGTGTTATGTCTTATCGTTTGTAGTCCAAATAATTATAAAATTGCCTTTCAATACCATCATTGTCATGAAAATTGTTTGGACTGGTATTGTGAAAATAATTGTATAAAGTTCGAGATTGTATGTTCGTTACGTAAGTGCGTCACTGTTTGTGATATCCTGTGGTGTCTGTCGTTGATGGAAGATGTTCATTGTTGTTCTGCGGTTTGCATGTTGTGTCGACTATTATGTTATTTGTTTGTGCGTTTCTCTGTGATGAGTGTTCTTGCGTGTGTTTGTGCTGTATTTCTGACACGTAGTGTTGTCATTTTAGCGATATTTTTTAACATTGTCATATAAGGGGGAGGTTTGGCTAGCCATAAAACCAGGTTCAACCACCATTTTTTCTTAAAATGTCCTGTACCAATTCAGGAATATGCCAGTTGTTATCAAATAGTTCTTTTATATGTATGTTGGCGTTTGTTTTTGTTGCACTTCTGTGTTCCTGTTGTTCCTTTGTTTTCCTCTTATAGTTGATGTGTTTCCCTCGCTTTTAGTTTGTAACCCGGATTCTTTTTCTCTCAATCGATTTATGACTTTTGAACACCGGTATACTACTGTTGCCTTTATTTATTGTATACGCAAATTCTGCTTAAACCCTTTCCCTTACCGAAGCATGGGCTTTGCCATTGCTTTATTTGAGGAAATCCTATTTCGTATCCGCAAATCCTGCAAAAGTCCTTTTTACAACTTATTTAAACTTTAAATCTAAACCATAGAATGCTATTGTCGATTTCGTTTTTCATCATTTTTGGGGTTTTCCTTACCATAGCGTTGTCATTGTAATTGCTATATTTTGTATCCACAACTTAATTCTCAATAATTTGTTTTCAATTTTTTTAAGAATTCTCTCAATCTTAACAATTATAAAAATAATTAGGAGATAACAGGATTGCATTTGGAGATTTACATGCTTCATTTGACGGTTTGAAGTACTTAAAATGAGTTAAAACTCAATTTTGTTGCAACTGATTGAACACCAGCTGACTAAAGGTTGTCGTAAATTTATTTCCTAGGGAAACCATTTAAGAAATATTTCCCTGGGAAATTATACGATTTCTGGTGCATAATATCGGAAATACTTACGAGTAAAATAGTACCATCTTACTTTCTATTTCCCTGGGAAACTTTTCCTGAATACCAGTTGAATATGTATAGTTTTCCAGGGAAATATTTTTGTTGTTTGTTTACGATAAGTATTTCCGATATTATGCACCAGAAATCGTATAATTTCCCAGGGAAATATTTTTCAACTGGTATTCATGAAAAGTTTCCCTGGGAAATAGAAAGTAATATGGTACTATTTCACGCGTCAGTATTTCCGATATTATGCACCAGAAATCGAATAGTTTCCCAGGAAATGTTTCTTTGTGGTTTCCCTGAGAAATAAATTGACGACAAATTTAGTCAACTACGAATAACCACACGGTTAATTCAAACATTCTAAAATAATGCAAATACCGTCTGAGCATGCAAGCATTATTTCGGACCAGCAATCTTAAATTTGTTGCCCTGAAATTTGTAGCGTTATCCAATTGAAGTGAACGTCACAAATAGTTATGAGTTGGAATGAAATACAATGTTCTTTGGTTTAAACGATTGGATAGACTGACGGGGATAACCTGACAGTCAAATTGTAGTCATTTGAAGAATCTTTTAAGAATTCTAGAACCTATTGAATGTAAGCAATAAAAACAATTATTTTTTAGGTTGTATATTTCACAGCAACCTTTCCCTACCTTGTATTAATTGCATTGTTGATAAGAGGACTGACTCTTGAAGGACACGAGAAAGGTGTTGAATTCTACATGACAGCTGATTGGGATAAACTTAAGGATCCAAAGGTAACACCTGAAAAATGAGCTGTTTGTGCAAAAGGATGTCTCATGTTACAACACAAATAAGAGCTTATACCTGTCGTTTCATTTGAATAAAAGGGGTATACGTCAATGACAGAAACTCAAGGACACAACAAAAATTCTAGAGGTCAATAAACTCATTATAGATACAAGAAGTAACATTTTGTAAGTCTGACGAGCGTTTCGTCTACAAACGACGACTCTTCAGTGACGCTAGAATAAAACTTTAAAGATAAAACGTCAAAATAACGTTGAAGCGCATTGCGGACCCAAAATTCCGAAAGGTTTTGTCTATTACAGATAATGTAATCTATCCTTAGAATATTAGAAAATTAAAAGTTGTGTAAAACAATTAATTTATAATTATGACCATTTCATTGATAATTCATGTCAACATAAAAGTGCTGACTACAACATGGGCTTGTGATATCCTCGGGGAAGGACATCTCCACCATAGTCATTCAGTACTTAGTTATACCAAATTTCTCTTATGATCTATCGATTTCTCCAATAAAAAAGATCCATTATTATATACACCTAACATAGAACTCAAGGGACTTGTTATTTATTTTAAAACATTTTGCAAATTTTGCAAATTACAGTTTCCTTGATTATTTATCACATTCATTATCAAGATGAACAATGAGCAAGTTCAAATTATTTTTACCATAATACACACATTATGACATTGTGACAGGTATGGGGAGATGCTGCCACACAGATCTTTTACTCTCTAGGCCCGGCATGGGGTGGACTTCTTACAATGTCAAGCTATAACAGATTTAAAAACAACACTGTCAGGTAATTAGAAATTATTCATTGCGGTTTTATTTATGTTAACTTGTAAAAAAACTATTATGCTGTCCAGTATTATTGAATCACAATTAAGTTATTTATCGAGGGAGACTGGGGCGAAAGATACCAAGGGGACATTGATTCAAAACGTATTATCGAAGAGAAACTGGCAACTCCATAGAAAAACACTAAAAACGACGAAAACACAAACAAGTCAACAAAACAATCAATAGAAAAATAAAAGTAAACAACACGAACCTCATCACAAACCATGGGTGATATTAGGTGCTGCAGAAGAATAAACATATCCTGATCCACACATGGCACCTGTCATCTTGTTCTTTGTTAGTACAAATTCGATGATAGGCCTCATTCGATGATGTTACATTCAAGGAAAAGAGGACGGGATTGAGGTTTAGACGATTGAAACCAAAAATTGCGAGAGAATGACTTTTACGTAAATGAGGGCAATCATATATACCAATTAATAAATATGATAATGTGTTTGTCATATGGCATACACGTTATTGCTTATAAAAAAATAATGCAATAAAGTTACTATATTTTTTCAGCTGAAAACACTACTAAATACTAATAAAAACTAGCATGTATGGTCATTCCAAAGAGGCTATTGCATATCAATAATTGCACCTTCGTTTTCCGTTTTTAAAAGGCTTGGTATACTAAGGCAATATTGATCAGAATACACCGTACTCTATCGCTTAAACCGCGTTAACTCTGAAGACAATACTTGGACTTTTTCATTATATGACATTGTCATCAGTTATGTAATTTCCATCTCATCGTAAACATATCTAAACGAGTTCCTGAAACTCTATTCAAATAGTAACCAGAGGTACTGGGAGATTTAGGAATCAAAATTTTGTCGAATAAGGTATGTTGTCTATTTGTACAATAGCATTGGATGCAAGTTTAAACAAATATTTACTAGAATTTCACAATTTTCAAAATGGCGATTATAGTAATGTTTATTTATTTTTCTCTATATTGAAAAAAAAATATTATCATGTTGCATGCAAAGAAGACAAATAAATATGTAAGCTGTCTCAACTTGGCCAATTTGAGTGTGAATATATTAAATTATCCTATTTAAATTTTAGAGACACCTTTATAGTTTCGATCATTAATTGTGGAACCAGTGTGTTTGCTGGGTTTGCTGTATTTTCTCTCCTTGGATTTATGGCCACTCAGCTGAACAGGGATGTTAAGGACGTTGTTGAAGCAGGTAACGTATTCCATGTAAATAGTGTTAATGATAAATTATATAAATCCGAATCTACCATAATTCCTACCAAATAATATTCACCAAAATAAAAAAAAAACACTTCATTGTAAAGACTGCGCCCCAATATACAATTCAATAACTTCTGTTTTTACTCCTCCAAATTCTCAACCAAAATATTTGTTATATATTTGTTTTTAATTTCAACTTTCATGGAACTCTAATATTCCATTTATGTTATTTTGCATGTTAGTACATATCATAGTTGAATCTACATATTGTTAACATTGGTAACAAAAATAGTTTCAGCAACATCGTCTATCGAGATGTAAACAATGTAAAGAACATCACATTTACACTAAAGTTGTTGAATTCATACTAGTAGCTTTTATATAGCAGTGTCATAAATAGTTTGTCGAACAATACGGTACAGTGCTATTGTACAATAAATTAATTCCAGAGTATTTATGTACGTTATGGGATGTTGACGGTCAGATAATTAAAAGGTAGTTTTTACATGTTATGCACTAGCTCTATAATATGCTTGGATCAAATTGCTACAAACTTAACGGAGTTGATATGATTGGTGAATGTAGAATCGTTTTTTATTTTGAAAATTTCCTGGTTTGTTATTCCAGAGTTCCAATTTATTGTTGCAACAATTCCAATATGCATACGGGCGTATCATGAGTTCTTGGACCAGCTGCTTATTTGGTTATGTGTGTTGATGGGTTGCTGTTTCATTGACATACAACACACATCTCATATCATATTCTTCATTTTTAACCTTATATCAAGACAAACTTACGAGACCAGCACATAACCAACCGTTCACCTTTTGCTCTATATCTGCTTTTTTTTTATTTTCAGGTCCAGGTCTAGCCTTCATTGCCTACCCAGAAGGAATAGCTAGAATGCCCGTAGCTTCGCTTTGGGCTTTTCTATTTTTCTTCATGATCTTTACACTTGGACTTGATAGTCAGGTTAGTAGGAAGTTACACATTTTTTAGTGATAGTCAGGTTAGTAGGAAGTTACACATGTTATAGTGATAGTCAGGTTAGTAGGAAGTTACACACGATATAGTGATAGTCAGGTTGGTAGGAAGTTACACATATTATAGTGATAGTCAGGTTAGTAGGAAGTTACACATGTTATAGTGATAGTACAGTAAACAGTAATATTAAGTATTAATAGAAAAATAAAATATTAAAATACAATACTCTGTAATTATATAGTAAATTTACTCTGTTCTACCAGACATTAATTATATGTATGTGCTTTCCATAAACACTTCTCATCTGAAAACGAGATAATCTCTGATATGTGAAAATATTTCTACTAAAAAGTGCATCTACAATCTGATATAAAAGACTGCAATCGCAAACTAACTGTATATATAAAATCTATTTCATCTCTATATATCTAACACATTCCACTGTATAAACAACTTTTTTTAAACATTCTTATATGAGTATGTCTAAACGAAATTAAACTTCAGGACTACAATAACGAAAAGATGTGCTACAATGGTCACTGCCTAAACTTCGACAATAGATATCATACAAACTTTTGTTTTATACTGATCACCAAAGCTGGATTACTCCAATTATTGAAAACACTGTTTTCAAAGATCATTACGGTTAACGAACATAAACTTATTTCTTCACATCCAAATCGGTATCATCTAAAGGCTTCCTTTTCAAACTTGAAGTCTTTACCAATTATTCGAAAATCGGGCATAAATGATAAAGGAACGAATTGTACAGGCCGATATAGGGCACTGTGTTTTATCCCTTTTGCTCTCATGTTATAGGGAGCTCCCTGTATCCTCTTTCTTCACTTAACGTCCAGTTGGTAATATTAAATGGATATTCAGGAATTTTTTAATTTCATTGGATGTGATAGAAAACATATATTTCATATGAGTGAGAAATAATATTGAAAACCGTATAGTACTTGTGATTGCTACGGGTTTAGGATAAAACTTCCGGAGCGGTGTATAGTAAGCGACCCTCTGGACAAGTCCATATATTTAGGCTGCTTACAAAACTTGTTACTTTGCTATTTGAGTCCTCAGTCAGTTGAATGACCTTTACAAAGTGTATATATATATCACATTAAAACAAACTGGTATTAAAATTTGCATGCAAAAAGAATAATAAGAGTTTTGATAGTATTTTACTTATTTCATCATAAGTATTCAGGTGAATAATATGTGCACCCTGTTCATAAACAACTTTGTTATGATTGATTGTGATATTCAGTACCAAAATGTCAGCAGGTATTGAAACCATTATTTCTATTTGCGATAAAAATATAAGTTTGTATAACAATGCAAATATGTACAGCCGACAGTTTTATTAACAAATGCATGTAAGGAGAATCCGGACTAGATGTGTGGAATCTATTTTCAGTTTGCTATGATGGAGACGGTTATAAGTGGTTTTGTTGATGCCTTCCCAACTTTCCTCAGACCAAAGAAACAAATGTTTACTTTGCTTTGCTGTCTAATTGGGTTTTTAGTAGGATTGCCGCAAGTTGCAAAGGTATGTTTAAAATTATAGTCTTATAGAAGAGGTGAACATTTACACTTGATATTCACATATATGCTGATGGGGTAATGCATTTAACTTCAGCTTCCAAATTGTGAACTTTGCATTTCTATGTAGCAACATTCTAGCAGCGCCTCCATACGGAGGATATATCTCTCAGTTGATATATTCCAGGGCTTGTATTATTATCATGATTTCCTTGATGGAGGGTTGGGGCTCACAAGGAAGCTATTAAACTAAGAGTTCCAAGCGGTGAAGTTGAAATCCTCCCTTTGTAAATTTTACGAACGCCATCACGAGGTAGTTGACCGTTATAGAATATCTGTTTCAGAGATCACGACGGACATGTTCCAATTGTCGTAACTACAATCCTGTTCCCTTTTCCCCGAATGTGACCTACCTAATAAGACTTATCACCAAGTTTTAACTGACATGAGCAACACGACGGGTGCCACATGTGGAGCAGGATCTGATTACCCTTCAGGAGCACCTGTGATAATCCCCAGTTTTTGATGGGGTTTGTGTTGCTCAGCCTTTAGTTTTCTATGTTGTGTTTTGTGTATTGTTGTTTGTCTGGTTTTGTTTCTTTTTTAGTCATGGCGTTTTCAGTTTATTTTCGACTTATGAGTTTGAATGTCCCTTTGGTATCTTTTGCCTCATTTTTAATATTTATTTATTGATAAATATGTTTACGACATACAAATTTAGCGTGATATTTGCTTCATTTCAGAATACACTTTGAAATGTTGATCAAACACATACTTTTTCCCAATACAAATCAGCTAACACTAAATAGGATAAATTAATAAATGAAGAAGACAAAAAATACTGAATTCATCAAATGAAAGTTGAGTTTGAGGATATATCCAAAATGTTTCTGAAAATAATTTATGACGACAACCTTTTTATCTCAAAATAGACGAATTGGAAAATAAGAATTCCTCGATTTTATGTTCTATTTGTTTATTGTAGGTTTGTATCTACTTTTGACATTAGTTGATTGGTTTGTACCACTTTGTTTATTGTAGGCTGGTATCTACTATCAGTTCCCGAGGGTATCGTCAGCTCAGTAGTCAGGAATTCGGTTCTGACATGATTTAAAACAAACCTTTCTAAAATTGCCTGTTTATAAATTTTGAAATTATAAAGAAACTGAGGTTTCAACTCCCTCAGGCAAAGTTGACCTTAGATGGATTTGGCTATATTTTTTTGTTGTTGATATTTTTTGTCATTAAGCTCTTTAACTGTTTCGGTACTTATACATCCTCGGCTTGCAAATATTCCGCTTTGGGCGTTCCTGATGAAGGTTATTCCAGAAAAGCGCTTCGGACGCATGAAATTATTTAACGTGTTTTCATTTTTTACAGCACTGGGTCGAACCTCTGCTGATGGACTATCAGTTCCCGAGGGTATATTCAGCTCAGTAGTCAGTACCTCGGTACTGACATGATTTTTAACAAATCTCTCTAAAATTGCCCGTTTATAAATTATGAAATTATAAAGAAACTAAGGTTTCAACTCCCTCAGGCAAAGTTGACCTTTGATGGATTTGGCTATATTTATTTTTGTGTTTTTTTCTTTAACTGTTTCGGTACTTACACATCATTGGCTTTCAAATATTAGGCTTTGAGTGTTCCTGATGAAGGTAAACCCAGAAAAGCGCTTCGGACGCATGGAATTATATAACGTGTTGTTTTCATTTTTAACAGCACTGGGTCGATACATCTGCTGGTGGACTATCAGTCCCCAAGGGTATCTTCAGCTCAGTAGTTAGTACTTCTGTACTGACATGATTTATAACACACCTCCCTAAAATTGCCCGTTTATAAATTTTGAAATTATAAAGAAAGTGAGGTTTCAGCTCCCTCAGGCAGAATTGACCTTAGATGGATTTGGCTATTTTTTTTTTGGTATTTTGTTGTAATAAAGCTCTTTAACTGCTTTCAAATATTCGGCTTTGAGCGTTCCTGATGAAAGTAAATCCAGAAAAGCGCTTTGGACGCATGAAATTATTTAACGTGTTGTTTTCATTTTTTGTTGAAATTAGTTGATTGGTTTGTTCTACTTTGTATATTGTGGGGTGGTATCTTCTTGTTTACATTGGTTGACTGGTGTGTTTTACTTTGTTTATCGTGGGGTGATATCTACTTGTTGACATTGGTTGACTGGTGTGCTTTACTTTGTATATTGTAGGGTGGTATCTTCTTGTTGTCATTGGATGACTATTGTGTTTTACTTTGTATATTGTAGGGTGATATCTACTTGTTGTCATTGGTTGACTATTGTGTTTTACTTTGTATATTGTATGGTGATATCTACTTGTTGACATTGGTTGACTATTGTGTTTTACTTTCTATATTGTAGGGTGATATCTAATTGTTGTCATTGGTTGACTATTGTGTTTTACTTTGTATATTGTTGGATGATATCTACTTGTTGTCATTGGTTGACTATTGTGTTTTACTTTGTATATTGTTGGATGATATCTACTTGTTGTCATTGGTTGACTATTGTGTTTTATTTTGTATATTGTAGGGTGATATCTACTTGTAGACATTGGTTGTCTATTGTGTATTAATTTGTATATTGTAGGGTGATATCTACTTGTTGACATTAGTCGATTGGTTTGTTATACTTGCGTCTTTGTTAGATATATATGTATGTTTGTTTGAATTTGTTAGTCAGTTGTGTTGTATGTATGTGATGTATGTTAACACAGTTTTGGCTGCTGGATCCCAATTAGTGTCACATTAGCCTATCATATATGTCTGGGTTGCTCATCCAACAACTGTCATGCAAATGGAAGGTTTAGCTAGCTCTAAAACCAGTTTCATCCCCCCATATTTTTCGGAAAATGCCTGTACCGATAACGTTTGATTTTGTCGGTTTTTATTAACTTCCCCATTTTGAATTTATCTTGGAACTCGGTAATTTTGTATTACATTTTTGTATATTGTAGGGTGGTATCTACTTGTTAACATTAGTTGACTGGTATGCAGGAAGTTACAACCTCATGCTTGTTAGTATGGCTGAATTAATTGGTATCTGCTACATCTATGGTAAGTTTACAGTGAAATGAAGTTGTATCCTTTTGTTTTGTCTCCTATCGTGAATTTTTTGAAAGTATTTTCGATTACATCAGTAAAATTTTTTGCAATTTTAAAAAATAAATTCCAAGTCAATGATATTAAAATGAATTTTATTAGAAAAAGAAGAATAGAATCGATTGCATCTTGTGTTATTCCAGCATCTATGTTTCAATGTTAAGACTTTATTATTAGAAATGTTTGAGTATTGTACTTCATATTGTGATTTAAACAAAATATAGCAATTTCTTTTAAACTGTTATAGGGGTAAACAACTTTAGAAGAGATATTGAGATGATGTTAGGAAAACAGCACCCGGCTTTTTGGATTTATTGGTATTGCACCTGGTGCTTTATAACTCCAGTTTCTATTGGGGTATGTACTTTTCATATATCATTAGTTATCAAGGGAACATACTATTTATATGAACGCAACATTTGCAGCCGTACATTGGTATGGCGATGTCCGACGACATTTGGTTTCTAGAATACTCAAGTTAACTTGAGTATAAGTGTACAATTCTCTATGAAATTGTACCACAAGGTTCCATACCACAAAAGGAAGGTTATGATAGATTTGGGGATATGGTCATAACCATTTAAGAATTTTGGGCCAAAAAGGTGCTAAAAGTAAACATTTTCTGGTTTCCGGACAATAACTTGAGTATAAGTCTATGGATTTTTATGAAATTGAACCACAAGGTTTCATACTACAAGAGGAAGTTTGTTTTGAATTTTGGGGTTATGACTGTTTAAGAATAAGGGGGCACAAAGGGGTGAAAACAAGCAATTTTTTAAAATTTGTTTGAAATGCTTATTTCTGATCAATTTTAATGGGATTTTAATAATCATGAAATATTGGGGTTCTTTGATATGCTGAATCTTACCGTGTCTTTAGAATTTTGATTTTTGGACCGTGGTTTCAAGTGCAAAATTAGGTGCAAAATTTAACTTTGATTCATTTCAGTATGCTGAATCTAATAATGTATTTAGATTTTGGTTTTGGGTCTTTCTCTCAAATTGGTCCACATCAGGGTCCAAAGGGTCCAAAAATAAATTTTGGTTGATTTCAACAAAAATTAAATGGTAGGGGTTTTTGCTATGCTGAATTGCTCATAGTTGATCAATTTCAAATGATTGTTTTTTACATTAAAAGTTTCCTCCCTTACAATATTTTAGCTTATAATTTACATTTTTTGTAATGTTAATTTCTTTCTTATTATGAGTAATAGGAAAACTATATTTAGTATGTGTGTACCTTGTAAGGTCCTCATGTCCGTCAGACAATTTTCATTTGACCTCGACCTCATTTCATGGATCAGTGAACAAGGTTAATTTTTCGTGGTCAAGTCCATATATCAGATACTATAAGCGGTAGGAATACTATATTTGGTATATGGAATGATTGTAAGGTGTACATGTCTAACTGGTAGGTTTCATCTGACCTTGACCTCATTTTCATGGTTCAGTGGTCAAAGTTAAGTTTTTGAGTTTTGGTCTTTTTTTCTAATACTATATGCAATAGGTCAACTATATTTGGTGTATGGAAATATTTAATGATGTACATGTCAGTCTCGCAGGTTTTATTTGACCTTGACCTCATTTTAACGGTTCATTTCTCTGTGTTAAGTTTTTGTGTTTTGTCTGTTTTTCTTCAACTATAAGCAATAGATCAACTACATGTGTTGTATGGAAGGATTGTAAGGTGTATATGTCAATCTGGCAGGTATCATCTGACCTTGACCTCATTTTCATGGTTCATTGGTCAATGTTAAGTTTTTATGGTTAAGTTTGTTTCTTAGATACTATAAGCAATAGGTCAACTATATTTAATGCATAAATTGATTGTAAGGTGTCTGTCTGGCATGGTTCATCTGACCTTGACCTCATTTTCATGGTTCATTGGTCAATGTTATGTTTTCTTGGTTAAGACTGTTTCTTAGAAACTATAAGCAATAGGTCAACTATGTTTGGTTTATTGAATGATTGTATGGTGTACATGTATTTCTCGTTTGGTTTATCTGACCTTGACCTTATTTTCTTGGATCATGTTAAGTTTATGTGTTACTTGTAGTAAAGCTTTATATTTAGGACTAACATAAAATCAATGGTTAGTAAAGAAGGCGAGACATTTCAGCGTCTGCACTCTTGTTTTGTTTTTTTTAATGTTACGAATAATTTTGCTGATTCAGATATATTAATTTAAGTGATTATTGTTCATGCATTGTTCTATTTTAAGATTGTTAACATATATCTAAATGATTTCTTTTGGTTGAAAATTCCATTAGAAACTAAAATAGATAACCATGTATATATACGTGTCAAATTTTTAATCACAATCTAAATTCAGAGCTGTATCGAGCTGATATGTAGTGTCCACACTTGCCCCAACTACTCAGGGTTCGACCTCTGCGGTCGTATCAAGCTGTGCCCCACCGATATATTTCTTTCATTTGTTTAGAATTTTATATTCGGTAAATTTATTTATAAAATTGATATGATAATAAGTACATTTTGGATTTTTTCGTACCATTCATGTTAAAACTGTTTTTAATTTTTAATTTTTAATTTTATATTTTAGTTCATTGTTATCATGTCAGCAATAAACTATTCACCAGCTTACTACGGTGATTATGAATTCCCAGGCTATGCTCAAGCTATGGGATGGTTAATGGTGTGTTCTCCACTGGCTATTATAATTGTCGTAATGATTGCACAGATAATCAGAAAAGGGGTATGTATAAGATAATTTAGCAATGACATCTAACCCTCCTATATATCCCACTCCCCGCTGTATTCGTTATCTTTCCAAAATAAATATTCGCTTTCATATGCATATCCTTAATATTTATATATCAATATAAACCGACATTTCATATTTTTACGCATTACATAACTTTGAACATAGCATTTCGGGATTTATCTTCTCTGGTCTCCAACTTAAGTACTGATTTCAGTAAAATTTTGTTTAGTTCGATTGTTCACTAACACCACAGGTAGAAGTTATGTAGTGAACAATGATGGCGTCTGTTCTATCTGGGAGGTTGATGTGACAAAAGTATTTAAATGTCATACTGTGATTGAAATCATGTCTACATCGGTATTTTATGTATCGCTAGGAAGAAAAATCTTTCCTTGCATTATTTTTCACCAGCTAGAAGTTCATTCATGAATATGATGGCAATTTGCTTAAACTAAGTTTTTTTGTTGCTGGCGGGATATTCTTTTTGATGAATAAATTTACAATGAACATTATTGTGCTGTTTATTTCTTTTGAGCCGGAATGATACTTTTTCAAAATATCCTAAGACAACTACTTGTTTAATTTATTGATTGCAAATATCACATGCATGTTGGACGGAAATGTTAATGTAACTTTTAACATAGGTTCCCTGCTTTGTACTAGATAGTCATGTAAAATATTTATTTTTAAGGTATTAGCACAGCACACTAGGCATTAGTACGCAAAAAGATCATTTGATTTGGAGTCAAACACACTTCAATTTATCTCGTATATGCTTCGTGACTAGCTGAGAAGTACAAAATATCAATTTCAAAGATAGGTCGAAGATCTAACCACCCGCATTGAAATTAGCTCACTATCATAAAACCAGAAGAATTCCCATTCATGTCACAGCTCAGCGCATAATTTAATGTCTTCAGTTTACTATTAGTGTTTTGAGTTTTAATCAAAGAACGTTTGCAACTGATCACTTTTTCATGTAAATATAGTTTTGAAAAATATATCTACAAATTACCATTTGTAAATCCCTTCGACAATAATCAGTCCAAAATGACATTATGACATTGTCTCTTACTGCATATCAACCCTCTTCTGTATTGTTGTTTCAAAGAACGATAAACTTTCTTGTTCCTGAGAACGTTTTTAATCGGGTGTTTTTCAAATTTCAGTTATCAGGAGCAGTTCAGAGTGAATCGCATTGGGGTCCAGCTTTGGATGAAGACCGAGCTTTAGATCCAATGAGATACAGACCACTTAGGGAGAATAAATACCCACCAAACGGCCATTATACTGATAATGAGGGTCAAACAAATATTGCCTATCTTGGAGATGAAAAAGTTAAATATGTAGCCACTGAATCTAACAGAATGTAAGAATAAGTGGAGCTACTGTAAAATAACTGTATATGATATACTATTATAACAGAAATAGATTTGTGTTACTTTTCATATTTTAATTATGAACTATTTTATTTTCTATATTTACTTTTATCATTTGTATGTAGTTAAAAAAAGAACTATTTTATTTTCTATATTTCCATTTTATCATTTGTATGTAGTTAAGAAGGAATTGAAGCCAAACTGCTTTGGGAGTAGTGCTCTTCTTCACTTCGATCTCCTTTATTTGGCAACGTAAGATGTCCATCATGAAAAATGTAATGTAAATTTGTACTATACACGAACATAATTATGATTTGAAAATAACCTCATTGACACCTTTATGTGCATTTCATAATTTCTAAGGGACATTTTTGGGTGACCATTAGAGTTATAATTAGATGAAAATAAATTTACTTTGATATTTTTTTTTTATATTTTAGTATAATTGGAATTGAAATGTTTTATTTCAAACGTCAAAAATGTCGAATTCCATCTTCGTGTGAACTACACATGCACAAACTGTTAGTGCAATATGTAATTGTTTAATATACCGGTATCACTTCTGTGTAACTTTGACGTACATTCAGTCATTTCTAATTTCTAACATTGAATTAATAGAGAACTGTTAGAAAGAAATATGATATGATTGATGATAATTGTTTTTTAATTTCTTTCAAGTTTCAATATTTGTAGTCAATGTGTCATCAAAGAAACACATTCCAGGTTAATACACACAAAACTGTATTTGAAAAACCTTTAAAAAAACATTTTACATGCTTCATACCTAAGAATTTATTTTATTAACATCAATTAATTGTAGCTGTTATAATTGTTCCGGAAGGTCCTCAATATGTATTTTGTAAAATGGTCCAATTACTTTTGTCTATATTAGACTACATATATATTTGTCCAGATTTCAATTGTTTGAACTATAAAATAAAGGTTTTGAACTCAATATATATAATATTAAAATGACAGAATTATGACACAGCAATAATATATTGAGATTAAAAAAAAGATGCTGAAAGTGTGCAATAAATTTCAATTAGACAATGTTTAGAACTAAAATTGAAGTCATATACATACAATGAAAAACTATATTAAACTATTAAAAAATGAAATTCCAAATCCTTCGACTTCAAAAAGGGTATTTCAATTGTGATAGAGTGAATTTTTTGAAACGATTATGCGTCGCGTGCATCTAATAAAATTGTTTTTTTAAGGTAAAATTTATTGACAATATTGTTGTAAAATGAATTTTAAAACCTATTAACAATGATGAAAATCTCGTTAAAGATGGTACATTTGATTTATTTTTTTAGATTTGTAAAGTTAACAAGAAAATGTTAACGCATTGATTATGAAACACACAATAAATTCATTACCTAAAGAAAGGTATGAAGGAGGATTGATTGTTTTCTAAGTATATTTTATTTTGTAGTCTGATGATATATATTTTTAAGAAACTTACTTTTGCAAATAAATCTTTTTTTCAAAATTGACGTTGTTTTTTATATTCCTGGATTTGTCAACACATGGGCAATATTATATGATGACTAAACGTCAATAAACCAGCAAACCATTGAAATTAACTGTGTATCTGTTCTGACACGAAATACAATTGATACACCCATTTTATGTGAACTGTTTATAAAATGATCAAATCATTCGAAAAAGTAAAGCCAGATAAAGCCTTAGTCAGCACTTCTGTAAATTTCCTGTTAATAAAATGTTCAACTATGCATCTAACAACATAAAGCGTATTTCTCAACGCCTTTCCAAATTATGAATGTCCGAAGATTCCTCAAAACTGAAATTTTGATAGATTTTGGAAAATAGTTTAATAATTGCAAAAAATAATAAGAATGACCCAAAGTTAAGCTGACTTTTGTCTTTCAGATACACATCAATTTATATTTGGTGAGGATGTCAAGTAAGTATCAACAACGATATAAAGTTTTAAATTACATTTTTTATTTTATGGATATGTGTAAAAAAATGTTAACTGTATTTGGTTTACTATTTAGGCTCTTTAAGTTTCAAACTATAGCAGGTTTTAATCATCTATTCTGCATACCTATATAGAGTTGTTTTATAAAAGGTTATGTGTTAGAAACAAAGTTACACAAGTAAAACACGAATGAATCTAAGGCAAAGTGTAACTTTTTCACATGAGGAATGTTGATTTAACACCTCACATCGACTTGATTGCTTTTGATGATATTCAAATTGGAGTGACAACTCATTCGATACCGCAGATGGTGGGTGGACTATTAAATCTCCAAGGGTATCATCCGCTCAGTAGTCAGTACTTCGATACTGGCAAATTCATATCATTCTTTGATTAAATTGTCCGTTGATAAATAAAGAGATTATGCACTAATTCGGAGGCACGGCATTTTTAAAGTGTTAATTTGTGGGCAAAGATTGGTTAATTTTAATATACAATACTTTTAGTACAATCTCAACCCATAAAAGCATATTTTGTAATAAGTGAAAAAGACAAATGTCATAAATTATTAAAATCTAAAATTTTGAAAAGTCAAATGATTTAGAATTATCTCTCCTTAACTATAAATTTCCTAAAAATAGTGTTACATCTCAATTTTTTGGGAGTAGATACCGCAAGCTATGATTGTTAAAATAACAAAATCCTAACAGATAAATTTCAAAGGTAAATGAAAATACTTATTTTCAGGTGGAAGCTGGGGAGGAGGAGGGGATTATTCTTTTTACGAAATTGATTGTCACCAACTTTCTGTGTGTTCTTTCTTCAGCAGCTATTCCAAAATGAGGCTGAATCTTGAAACATGTGTTTGAAGTAGCGCCCCCATATCAATTACAAAAATTCCGAAAGTTTCATTAAAGATTAATACCTAATAACTAAACTATTTTCTACATATTGCTTTCATGTATCACCAAGATGTAAGACACTACCATGTACGCCTTACTAATAAAGCATACGAATTTTCATTGTACCATAAAGTCTACTATGCTGCACATAAGTAGGTCTATATTGTACAGAATATATCATATTTTCGAAATATCTGTATTTACATTAACTGATACAGTAACCACTTGATTGAAAGAATTGTAAGAGAGATTGACCCCACCTATATTAAAGAATATAAATATTTTAAAAACATTACGTTTTTCGTTTTTCCAGTTTGTTTTCGACTTATGAGTTTAAATATCCATTTGGTATCTTTCGCTTCTCTTTTGATATATCTGCAATATGCTTGAAGCGAAAGTATTTGAAAAACCACAACCTAATACAAACTTTGAATGGCTGATTAAACCAAAAAAAAAATCAAAAGTAAAGCGAGGATCGGACAAGGAATCAGAGCTATGAATAAGGGAGTTGCATTCATGAATTTAAAATGGTTTCATAAATTTCAATACAGCAAATTTCAATAAAACAATATCCGTATTTTAATGTCAGTTCCGAAGTAGTGGATATTGGAATAGTGATATCCTCCGGGACTAATCAAGGTATTAACAAAAACCTGACCAATGCTACTGTACTGAACGTGCAATTCGATAATTGATATCGCTTCAGTAAGGATTGAGACCAAAATATTTAAAAGTCCAGAACCTAACACAAACTATGATGAACAAAAAAAAAGACCAAAGGTAAAGCGAAACCTTTACAAGGAATCAGAGCTATGTGTGAGGAGCTACATTTCTTTGTTTAAATGATTTCCAAAATTTTATAACAGCAAATTATACCAATGTATAGCATTAACGGTAAAATTTTATGTCAACAGATTTGGACGTATGGAATTTTTAAAGTGTTGTTTACGTGTTTTCTGATCTCGACAGTTAATTTCTCTGCAGTCGTGCTCGATGCCTAAGTATTAGAAAGTCCAAAACCTTACCTAATACCTTACACAAACGTTTAAGAGCAGATAAAAACCAAAAAAGCATCAAAAGAAAAGACAAGGAATCAGAGCTATACATGAGGTTTTCAAAATGATTTTAATAACTTATAATAAGCCTTTACTTAAAAATAAACTAAAAATGAGCATATCTACGTACGATTAAAATTTTATTACAACATCTACAAGAAAGCAAACATGTCTTAAGTACATACTTTAATTGTTTGACTTTGCTTTAATATTATCGACAAACACAATAGTATTGACAGTTTCGGAATCACATAAAGACTAAAATAATAACATTGACAGTTTCGTACTCATAAAAAGACATAAACAAACATAAAGAACAAACAATCTCATCTTTAAATATTTAAAATACACGAATTTTCAATATTAAATTGACTTTAAAGGACAATTACATTGTTATGTAAATTATAATGACTTAAAGAATTAAGATACGTTTTTCTTCATAAGATAGAGACAAACATGTTTTGCACGAACATCATACAACCAAAACCATACACGTTGTTACAATTTCTCTTGAAAGTTGAAAGTTTTCAATTCAATTAAAAGTTCATCTAGAGATACTTAAGCTGCTTTTAGGTTTTGAGAGCAATATACCTCAGGTAACACGGTCACATTTTGCCGAAGAAGATGCGACCAGACATTTTTTATAACAACTATAACTAAGACAGATTTAACAGATTACACAAATATTGATAACTCGTGCATAGTTATGGTTGTAAAGCCTACTATATGTCTGGATTCCAGTAATGTATTTTTATACTTTGAATAGATACGTTAACTATTAGATTTTGGAGTAAATTGCATGATCTGTTCTGCATACTGAGGTTAGTATAGTGATTCTTTCTTTAAAAGATATTCATAAAATAAGAATTTATTTTGAAAAATATATATGATTCTTGGCAAACTTGATTTGTGTTGACTTTTACAGTAATTACTTTATTTGAATGCTTTTTTAAATATTGATATTTAATCTCGTAAATTCATACAACATTTCAAAAATAGGTTTATTAAGGTTCATTATAACAAATGGACAAAAATGGCTGTATTTCCACCTCAAAAACTACTCTGAGTACAGACTTACCTATCCAGTTGGAAAAGTTTTAATGCCTGGCATCCACTAGATATATAAAAGTTAAATGCATTTTGTGTTTCAGAAAGATAAAATCTTTTTGCGTGAGCCCCCTGAGGGGTTCACGCTTATATATTGGCGAGTTTTGGATGTGTCTATGGGCCACTCGATATCTCTCGGCCGGAAGTCGGAATAAAATTCTCGGAACGTCTCGAAAGTTTTCGATCATTTATACAAGTAGTTATCTACGTCTTTGATACGGTCCCTCTATGGCTATGCTACCACGTGACATTACACCATCAAAGTAAATTGGAAAGTAAATAATAAGGCTAGGTTGCAGTCAATAAATCGTTTAAATATAAGAACCTTTTTGCCTTTTCACAAAACATATGTGTTTTTAATTATGTGAATGTTTATAAGCGCTTTGATGTGAAAGTTTCTAAACAAGTATTATGACAACGCAATTATATTTGTTTTAAAACGACCCCTGTACACTACTGTGTGTATCTAGGTTAATTATAACGTGGTATAATTGTGCATTGTCATGATAACATGTAAACTAATTATGTCTGAAGATTTAACCACGTGTGTATTTTCATCATAGACTAAGGAGAGAACATTCTGGTTTAAATGTGTATATTAGATCGGAAAACAGAAAGATAATATTATTATCAAAAGTATTGAATTTAATTAATTCAATAGAAATCAAAGAAATATATACAAAATATATACTGTATTTATGTTTCTGTAGAAACTAAATATTAAATTGAAGTCAGAATATTTTCAGAGTTGCAATTACGAAATAAGTATTTATATGACAAAATACTCTGCTTTGGTATTTTTAAATATTCATTTGTAAATGAAACATGCATAATAATTAAATCTGAATAAATCCTTGCATCATACAAAAAAAAATGTTAATAATTATATTTCTACGTTAATTATTTCCTACCGTTTTAGTAAGGTTTTATAAGTAATTGTAATTTATTTTTTTGTATTGTAATATATCCATAAAACGGAAAGTAAGATAAATTAATTAAATATTTAAATTTTAAACGGTCGTGAATAAAAATACTTGTGTGTTTTCAATTCACAAAGATTTTAAATCCTTGCAGCTCACAAAATAACGTAATAATAGTTTATAATAATCATAACACAATTTAATTAAGTACTATCATAATATTAATTTTGTTTGTACTGTTTTAGTATGGATTTATAAGTCTTTGCTAATATTTTGTATAGTAATCTATTCATATAGTGGAATGGTAGAATTTAAAAATAGATTCATTTGATAAATAAAATGTCCGTCCGTAAATACTTGACGTTTGTGTTTATTGTTACTACATGTATATATATTAAAAATTTTCGGAAAAAAATTACTAACAGGAACGTATGTTTATTATAAAATTTCAATTCTGTTTTTGTTTGTTTGTTTTAATAGTTTAACCTTATAACATCTACATATTTGTACTATGGTACGGTTTTGAAAATTGTATTCACTGTGTTGCCCAACTATCCTACACG